TTTGGGATTTAGGGCTTAAGGTTCAGGGTGCGCGAGTTCAGGCTTTAGGGTTTAGGTTTCAGGGGGCCGGGTGGGCCGAAAAAAGGGCCCTAAACCCTAAACCCTAAACCCTAAACCCTAAACCCTAAACCCTAAACCCTAAGAAAGGGGAAGGCACCTTCTTGATCAGGTCGGGCTCGTCGTACCAGATGGTGCAACCACCCTCGTCGATGATCCAGTTCGCATCATCCCGCGCCCTGCTTTAGGGTTTAGGGTTTTGGGCTTTGGGTTTTGGGTTTTGGGTTTACGGTTTAGGGTTTTGAGTTTCGGGTTTGAGTTTTGGGTTTTGGGTTTTGGGTTTGGGGTTTAGGGTTTAGGGCCAGGGCGAGATGGACAAAAGGCGGCGTGAACCCTCAACCCTAAACCTTGCACCCCTAAGGTTTTAGGGCTTATAGGGTTTAGGATTGCGTCCGGTTGGGGGTTTAGGGTTTCCTCTTAAACCCTAATTCCTCCTTAAAACCAGTCAAAAACATCTAAAACCCCTGAAAACCCCCTAAAAACCCCAAAGACCCCAAAGGGGCGCGCCTCAGCTTGCCATCGGATCCGAAGGGGATGGTCAGGCACGTGTTTCCCGGCCAGGGCTTGCAGTCCTGAGGGTCTTAGGGTTTTTTGGTTTTAGCGTTGAGGGTTTTAGGGTTTTGGGTTTTGGGTTTGAGGGTTGTAGGGTTTTGGGTTTAGTGTTTAGGGTTGAGGGGCTTAGGGTTGAGGGGCTTAGGGTTCAGGGCTTAGGGTTGAGGGTTTAGGGTTTAGGGTGTAGTAGGGTTTACGGTTTAGTAGGGTTTAGGGTTTGTAGGGTTTAGGGTTTAGGGTTGTGTCGGGTTTAGGGTTCAGGGCTTTGGGTTTAGGGTTGAGGGTTTAGGGTTGAGGGTTTCGGGTTGAGGGTTTAGGGTTTAGGGTTAAGCAGGGTTTTGGGTTTTGTAGGGTTTAGGGTTTAGGGCTTTAGGCTTGAGGGGCTTTGGGTTCAGGGCTTCGGGTTTAGGGTTGAGGGTTTAGGCTTTAATAGGGTTTAGGGTTTAGTAGGGTTTAGGGTTGAGGGTTGAGGGTTTAGGGTTTTGTAGGGTTTAGGGTTGTGTAGGGTTTAGATGTTTAGGGGTTGAGGGTTTAGGGAAAGGGGTCCTTCAAGTGTTCCTTTAAAGGGGTCCATAAGGCTACTGTAAGGGATCCTTACGGGTTTGGGGTAAAGGGCTTAGGGTTTGGAGCTGAATTAAGGAAAATACCTTTAAGGGTTCCTTAATGTGATCTAAAAGGGAATTAAGGGGTATCTAAACCTAAACCCTAAACCCTAAACGCTAGCGTAAGATCATATTTGGGACCCTACTCTAATTTCAGGTGTATTCCTTAATTAAGGGGTCTGGGAGTCTCATCTTCCTTTACTTTAAGGGCTCTACAGAGTCCCGTTTGTGGCTCCTAGAAGCTATCCTATCATTTTGGGGGGCTCGGGGCTCCTCAAACGGATCCTATAAGGGCTTAGAGGGTTTTCGTGATAGTTTAAACGCGTTGTAACGGTTCAGGGTTTAGGGTTTAGGGTTTTAGGGTTTAGGGTTTAGGGTTTAGGGTTTAGGGCTTAGGGTTTAGGGTTTAGGGTTTAGGGTTTAGGGCCTAGGGTTTAAGGTTTACCTAAACCGTATAGGGTTTGGTGACTTGTTCCGCCGTGTGCGCCCATGTGTCCTTGCCCCGGGAAGGACACTTGTGGTACCAGACCTTCTCTTTCTCAGTGGCCACCTTGACAGCGAGGGAGCTTCCGAAGATGAAGCACAAAAGTGGCCAGAGACTCCAATACCCCTTAGTTAAGGAATATACCTTCAATTACAATAGGATCCCTCATATGATTTAAAGTATATTCCTTAACTAAGGGGTTTTGGAGGCTCTGGGTGGAGCGCAGAGTCCCACGTCTTTAGCCCCACCCAAAGAACCCAACACCCCTTAATTAAGGAATCTACCTTGAATTATAGGGGCCTTAATATTAAGATTTAAGGTATATCCCTTGGTTAAGGGGTATTGGGTTCTCTGGGCAATCAGGTGCCGGCGATGGAGATGGCCAGTCCCATGCGCTCTGCTCGACCACATCGACCTAGGCTCTTCACCCCCACTCAGGCTTCGGGATTTCAGGGTTCGGGGTTTAGGGTTTAGGAACGCTAAACCCTAAACCCTAAACCCTAAACTTTAGGGGCTGGCTTGGGGCTCTGAGGTTTGGGGTACAACGAAGGCCTCGAGCGCTGGGGTGAGTCATGGCGGGCCATTGCAAGACTTGCGGAACCGGGGCGCTGAAACCATCTGCTGCGCAGATCTGCCATGTAACTACCAGAGATCACCCTACAATCCACGTCGACAGTCGCAGGCTAAGGCAGACGCCGATTCGATGGATGTAGTTCTCGATGTCATCGGGAAGTGTAGTCCTCGTTTCTCACCATTTTTCTGCGCTTGCACTGCAATTGACTTTTCGGTCTGTGACTGCTCGCAAGTCACGCATGTCTTCTGCGATTGTAAAGTTACCGGGCGAACGCTGCTCTCAGGCCCAGGCTGGATCACGAAGGGAAGCCCTGCGATATCAATGCCTCTCGCTGCGACGTCGGTGCAGATGAGGAATCGCACCTGCTTTTGAAACTCGTCCGAGTGAACCCATGGCTCAGCTGCAAAACTCACGACTCGAGCCCTTTCTGTCGTCCCAAGTCTGCAGCATCACCCTCTTTGAAGGACTCGAGGTTGGATCGTCGCTCATCCTCACGAAAACATCTATGCTATTAAGCTAGACCCGTAGGGCTTAGGGTTCAGGGTTCAGGGGATAGGGTTTAGGGTTTAGGGGCTCCTGATTGCGCATCCCTGCGAGGACGACGCAGCTGTAGGGGTTTTCCTTGCCCGTTTCCATCTTGCCACCCCAGGCCTCCCAAGCAAAGGAGCTTCGGCAGGCTGCGGAGTGACCCAGAGAACCCAATACCCCTTAATTAAGGATATACCTTAAATTATAGGGGCATTAATCTCCCTAAACCCTAAACCCTAAACCCTATAGGGGCATTAATATTATGATTTATGGTATATTCCTTCACTAACGGGTATTGGGCTCTCTGGGTACGGCTGTCGCATGTCAGGCCTTGGTTCCACCTAGTCGATTCATGTAGTCTTCGAGGTTGTTGCCTGTCGTAAGCACTGGTTTAGGGTTTGAGGTTTTGGGTTTTGGGTTTAGGGTTTAGGGTTTAGGGTTTAGGGTTTAGGGTTTAGGGTTTAGGGTGCGGCATGGGGTGGCGGCTCAGCATCTTTCCAACGCCAACGAGAGACTCGACATCCGGGATGAAATACTTGGAGGATCATGGGACTTAGTAACTAGGGTTATAAATAAGGTAACGATAGTTGTAAGTAAATATAACCCCAATTAAGGTAGTTATAACCTTACTTACTAAGTCCCATGATCCTCCAAGTACTTATCACAGCATGGACTGGATGTACTTCGTACGACTTCAAACTCGCTTGGTCGTTGAGCTCGCCGACTTCGGTTTAGGGTTTAGGGTTTAGGGTTTAGGGTTTAGGCAACCCGCCGAGGAACAATCGACATTCGTGCGGCAGAACACCAGGCACTGCGACCTGAACGGAGCGTAGTACATCTAGGCAAGACACTATAGTTTGGGGTTCAGGGTTTAGGGTTTAGAGTTTAGGGTATAGTGTATCAAAGTATATTCGCCTCGGCCCCGCCGAAGCGGTCAGAGAGCTTCTCATAGGGATTCCCTCTGTTTCCCCACCTCTGAATCCCCCGCAACCCCTGCGGTGAAATGTCGCCTCCTCCATTCCCCACCCCCCCCCCCTCCGCCTCCCCCGCCCCTCCCGCCCTCTCCGGCAGCGGCACTTTAACGCCTCCGAGCTTTCACTGCTTGGGGTTGTAACCTTGTAGAAGACATCAGAGAATCCAAGATTAAGAACGACGCCTTCGAGTCGAAGGTGTCGGTCTACTCCAGGTTCCGGGTTTTGGTTTAGTCACGAGAATTTGAGGTCAGGGGCTTGGGCGTAGGCCAAGGATACTGAAAGTTAAAAGGTACCACGCTTCTGTGCAGAGGACTTGCGCAGAAGCATTCCGCTGTACACTCAGACTGCTGGAGTTTGGCGCCTGAGAGATCTCGGCTCAAGAACTCTCTTCAGCAAGGCAACTTCTTCAAGGGGTAGCAATGCAGGCTCCGGATGCTTACCTTAGACAAATACCTCTACGTTGTGCAGCCGGGCTGAGGCGGGCGACGCGAAGCGTTTAAAATTATGGTGTATAACAGTATATGGTAGTAGATAACTGTATACTATCGTATATCATAGATAGTACATTGTAGTATCTCATCTTCTGTTCGAGCACTGTATATCATTCCATACTGTCTTCCGCAATCGATCAAGGCCCTGGCATGTTGAAAGCATCAGCAAGCTTGACCACCTCGTCTGCATTGCAGCTGCTTCTAAAACATTTGCAAAGAGAGTGCAATGGATGCCGCGCCATCTTTGGCTTCATCATCTTGATCTTCTCTGACATCTTCAACGCGTCGGGATGGTTCCTCAGCGTCTCGGGAAGACCTGCTCTACTGTAAACAGAAACTAGTCTATGGGTTCATATTTGACTATACTATCTTATACATTCTTATAGTACATGACATAGCACTATAACGTACTATCTTCTGCAAATAATATTACATACACTACATATCATTCAACATTATAATACTTACTTCCCAAAAACTCCAATATCCCTTAATTACGGAATATACCTGAAATTATAATAGGATCCCTAATATGCTTTAAGGTATATTCCTTAACTAAGGGATATTGGAGTCTCTGGGAAGGTCGGCTCTAGGCTTCGGGCCTGTCGATCCTCGACATGGTGGGCTTCGTGTGCACGCCGTCGGGTTCCGGCTGCTCCTGGGCGACATCAAAACGGAGCTGAGGCTGATTTTTTAGGGTTTAGGGTTTGGGGTTTAGGGTTTAGGGTTTAGGGTTTAGGGTTTAGGGTTTAGGCTTTAGGGTTTAGGATTTAGGGCCAATACTGCTTGGAGCCGAAACCCCCTGTCGAAAATGGAGTCATGGTTGGCAACAGGCAACGCTGCGAAGAACAGGTGAACAGCATGGCCCCCAAAACCCTAGATCGTGAGTCCTGGCCCTAAACCCTAAACCCTAAACCTGCTGGCTTTGCAAAGCCATGCGAACCCTGAAACTGCCCCTTCCTCTTCTACTGACCTGGGTCTGAGATGGAATAATTTTTGTTTACCCAGAGAACCCAATACACCTTAGTTAAGGAATATACCTTAAATTATGGGGCCTCATTATTATGATTTAAGGTGTATTCCTTAATTAAGGGGTATTGGGTTCTCTGGGTAGGGTTTAAAGCTTAGAGTTCAGGGAATAGCAACCGTTGTCATATAAGCACAATCACACTCAAGAAAACCTAAACCCTAAACTCCGAATCCTACCCCCTCAACCCTAAACCCTAAACCAGTGACGCGGGGGGGGCTCCTTGGGGGCTTTGGCTCGCACTGCGATCTCAGCATCGCTCCACTGCAGATCTTGATACCTGCTTTAGGGTTTATGCGGTTCAAGGGTTTTGGGTTTAGGGTGTAGGGTTTAGGGTTTAGGGTTTAGGGTTTGGGGTTTTCAGGGCCTTTCGGGGTTTGAAGTTGAAGGCTGTTTCCTTTCAAAATGTCGCAGCAAGCTGCGAAGCTGTACACGGCCGAGTACGCAGGAATCACTTCAGAAAAGACTGTGGACTTTGTGAAGGTTTAGGGTTTAGGGTTGGGGAGAACTTCGACCCATCAACTCAAGCATCTCAGTTCAGATGCTCCTGCCGGTCCGAGGCCCAAGTGAAAGTGTTGGAAAAAACGCCGAACCACTCTCAGGCCGCCGCGGATCAATGTAGAGCGCTACGTGATGCACCGTTTCTGGGACGGAGTCCTCTCACACAAGGCTCCTTGTAAAGGCACAGATCAGGCTACTCGGAGGTTCCTTGCCCTTGAGATCCACCCAAATGGGTCGCGATGTGATCTCTTCAATCATTTGCACCACCTTCGGCAGGATCATGAAACAGCACACAACGCACACGCACGAGCACCGGAAACGTTACAACAGGGCATTCCTCGCCCCTCTTTGGCGCTGCTGGCCTCTGGTGTGTGAAGTGTAGCACTGAAGAATAGGGTCTGGACCTGCGCTGAAACCACGGGTTTAATGGCTCGACATCGCTGGCAAGACATGATCAACTATAGCTGCCCGTACTTACCCGGCTGCGAATCGGTTGCCGATCCAATTTGCAGCTGGGAAAATACACTGCACAAGCCAAACCCCTAAACCCTAAACCCTAAACGGCAGTCTCAGGCACACGGTCTCGCCGGCCACGCTTGATCTGCGCGTTTAGGCGCGGAATCTCCTGGCATGTCGAACATCCAGCCACAAGTCACTCGCCACGGCCTACCCTTCTGCCAGAGCGGAGAGTCTCCCTGGCCCCTAAACCCTAAACCCCTAAACCCTAAACCCTAAACCCCTAAGCCCTAAACCCTAAACCCTCAACCCTAAACCCTAGTCTGGGCTCCTTTCGATCATCTTTCTTTTGCAGATCGTCCGCTTCATCCAGCACCAGGAACTTCAGATGGGTGACATCCTGTCGAGGATCCCAAGCTTCGGAACGATCCGATAGTGAGAGGGGTTTAGGGTTTAGGGTTAGGGTTTAGGGTTTAGGGTTTAGGGTTTAGGGTTTAGGGTTTAGGGTTTAGGGTTTAGGGTTTAGGGTTTAGGGTTAGCACTTGTACTGCCCAAGGTTATAGGCCATTCCAGCACTTCGCAAAAGCTGAGGCGACGGGCCAGCTTGCCCCGGCGGACGTAGTCCATCAGCTTCTGCAAGGTTCCAACCTAAAACGACCCAGAGAACCCAATACCCCTTAATTCAGGAATATACCTTAAATCATAATAAGGTCCCTTATAATTTCAGGTACATTCCTTAATTAAGGTGTATTGGGCCCTCTGGGGAGTGACACGGTCGAGGTGTCACTGGGCACTGCCTGCTGCAAAGACAGTCTCGCTTGTCGAGACCTCATGTAGGTGGTTGTCAAAATTATNNGGGTCCTTATTATAATACGGCTCCTCCCTAAACCCTAAACCCTAAACCCGAAACCCTAAACCCTATTATTTAGGGTACCCCAAAAGGGACCATAATTTTGACAACTACCCATGTACTCCGAGGCTCTTGCGACGATGTCTACGCCTTCTTCCAGCGCACGAAACTGCTCCTCCCAGAGAACCCATGGGCACTTATTGAGCCAAGACTAACAAAGGGCTTGGAAGTATTAAGATTTCCCCCCATCGTCCCCAGATATTTAGACTGCTAGATATGTTATGGCCACACCAGGGTATGCCCAGGAATATACCTTAAATTATATAGGGGCCTTATGATTATGGTTTAAGGTATATTCCTGAATTAAGGGGTATTGCGCTCTCTGGGCTCGCCAAGGTTCATTGGACAGCTGGCTCATGGAAAACAAACAAAGGACTGCAAAGAACAGCAACGACCACAACAGCCTGTGTGTAAAGGAACCCAGAGACTCCAAAACCCCTTAAGTAAGGAATATACCCTAAATCATATCAGGGATCCTACTATCATTTAAGGTATATTCCTTAATTCAGGGGTTTTGGAGTCTCTAGGAACATCAACCGCCTTGCCTTCTCGTCGATGCCGCCGACAAACAACGTGATTCGGACCGTAGGGTTGTCCAGATATTTGTTGAATGTGGTCATGCCTCAGGCACCCGCTTCTGCAGGGAAGTTTCGATGCTCTGATATCGCAAAAATACCTCGATTATGTGCAGGGTGCCGAGCTCATGCTTTGTGATTGGTTTGAGGGGCGAAACTGAGAAGGGAAGGTTTCAAAGGCACACGGCTTGCTTCCGACATTGCTCAGACCACCGGCTATTCCGGGGAAGATTGGAATCTGCTCTTCCGTGTGAGGCAAACTGTATTCTGCAGCCCACCACCAAGAATCAAATCGACGTGAGAACCAATTCGATAAACCCGCCATGCCATCTCCGAATGCCTCCCCAGAGAACCCAATACCCCTTAATTAAGGAATATACCTTAAATCATAATACTAAGGCCCCTGTAATTTAAGACATATTCCGTAGTTAAGGTGTATTAGGTTCTCTGGGTCCATGGATTACGAAGCTCTGGGGATCTGGAAACGTGTGCAAATCTTCCTCCCTACCCTCTCTCCCCCTGAATTAAGGAATATACCCTAAATCATATTAGGGATCCTCTTATCATTTCAGGTATATACCTTAACTAAGGGGTTTTGGAGTCTCTAGGCTGCTCTCCCTGTCATTGCAGCCGACAGGCATTTGTAAGTCTGCTCAGCCAGGTCCCTTGCACAGACAGGGTTGACTGCTGAATCCCTAAACCCTAAACCCTAAACCCTAAACCCTAAACCCTAAACCCCTAAACCCTAAACCCTAAACCCTAAAAATGCACCCTCCGCACCAGAAGCCCTTCTCCAAAGCCCATGCCGTCACAAGAGATTGCAGGGCTTAGGGTTTAGGAGTTTATGGAAACCACAAGTTGCATGGGTTTAGGGTTCAGGGCTTAGGGTTTAGGGTTTCGGGTTTGGGGTTTAGGGTTTAGGGTTTAGCGTTTAGGGTTTAGGGTAGCACAGACATCGCTGGTGAACTGGCCTTGTGGGCTCCAGGATCATACAGAGGGGCGGTCGCTTGCCTTTGCTGCAGTGGTAGTGACCGCTTGACGACAAAACCCTGCTGTCATGATGCCATTGCGTACAAATATGATTAAATATGTGTATACATGTATGTATATGCAAGTGTTGTTATACAGTAGTCTAGCTATGTCATATAATATTAAACTATACCATATAATAGTGCAACAAACTATGTGTTGCGATACAATAGCCTAAGGCTCTTTTTGCTGTTATGGGCTTTCTAGGGGAAGGTTTGGGCTTTGGGGGCTAAGGTCTGGGCTTTCAC